TACTGATTTACTTTATTTTACTTTATTTTTAAATTTTAGAGATGAGGGTCTCACTGTGTTGCCCAGGTCTTGAACTCCTGACCTCAAGTGATCCTCCTGCCTCATGCTCCCAAAGTGCTGGTATTACAGGCGTGAGCCACCATGCCCAGCCAAAACACTACTGATTTTTGTGTGTTGATGTTTTATCCTGCAATAGTACCCATTTTGTTTATCAGTTCTAAGTTTTTTAGTGGAGTCTCGTATAGGGTTATAGGGTTTTCTGTATACAAGCTCATGTTGTCTGCTAATGGGGACAGTTTGACTTTCTTTTTTCCAATTTGGATGCCTTTTTTTTGTTGTTACTCTTGCCTAATTGCTTTGGCTAGGACTTCCAGTACTGTGTTTGATAAAAGTGGTAAAAATGGGCATCCTCATCTCATTTGAGATTTCAGAGGAAAAGCTTTCAACTTTTCCTCGTTCATTATGATGTTGGTTGTGGCCTTTATTGTGTTGAGGTGTGTTTTTTCTTTAGTTAACTTGAGAGTTTTTATCATGAAAGGATGTTGAATTTTATCAAATGATTTTTTATGTCTACTTCGATAATCTTTATTTTATTGATATTTGATTTTATTTATTGATTTATGTATGTTGAATCAGCCTTACATCCATGGATAAATTCCATATAATCTTGGTGAATGTCTTTTTGCATCTATGTTCATCAGAGATATTGGCTTATAGTTTTCTTTATTTGGTTTTGGTATCAGAGTAATGTTGACCTTGTGGAATGGTTTTGGAAGAATTCCTTCCTCTTCAGTTTTCTGAGAGAATTTGAAAAGAATTTATAGTTCTTCTGTATATGTTTGGTAGAATTCTGCAATGAAGCCATTGGGTCCTGGGCTTTACTTTTATGGGAGACGTTTTATTACAGATTCAATCTTGCTACTTGTAATTGGTCTGTTCGGGTTTTCTGTTTCTTCTTGGTTCAATCTTGATAGGTTATATGTGTCCAGAAGTTTATCCATTTCTGCTAAGTTTTCTTTTCTTTTTCTTTTTCTTTTTTGAGACGGAGTCTTGCTCTGTTGCCCAGGCTGGAGTGCTGTGGCGTGACCTTGGCTTACGGCAACCTTCACCTCCCAGGTTCAAGCGATTCTCCTGTCACAGCCTCCCAAGTAGCTGGGACTACAGGCGTGCGTCATGCTGCCCAGCTAAATTTGTATTTTGAGTAGAGACGGGGTTTTACCATATCCGTCAGGTTGGTCTCGAACTCCTGACCTTAGGTGGTCCACCCATCTCAGCCTTCCAAAGTGCTGGAATTACAGGTGTGAGCCACTGTCTGCTAAGTTTTCTAACTTGGTACACAGTTATTCATAATAGCCTCTAATGATCCTTTGTATTTCTGTGTTATCAGTTGTAATGTGTCCTTTTTTGTTTCTGATTTTATTTATTTGGGTCTTTTTTTCCTTGGTTAGCCTGGCCAGCAGTTTGTCAATTTTGTTTATTATTTTTAAAAAGCCAACATTTCATTTCATTGATTATTTGTATTTATTTGTCTCAATTTTGTTTATTTCTACTTCGATTTTTATTATTTATTTTCCTCTGATAACTTTGGGTTTGATTTGTTCTTATTTTACTAGCTACATTGTTTATTTCTACTCTTTTGATGTAGGCATTTATTACTATAAACTTTTCTTTTGATACTGCTTTTGCCGTATGCCATAGGTGTTGGTGTTTCTACTTTCATTTATTTCAAGAAATGTTTTGGTTTCCTTCTTAATTTCTTCATTGACCTATTGGTTTTCCAGGAGCATGTTGCTTAATTTCAGTTTACAATTTCAAAAGTTTCTTTTGTTATTGATTTCTAGTTTTATTTCATTGCAGTCAAAAAAGATACTTGATATGACTTTAATTCTTTTAAATTTGTTCAGACTTATTTTGTGGCCTAATATGTGGTCTATCCTGGAGAATGTGCTGATGAAAAGAAAGTATATTCTGCAGATATTGGATGTAATGTTCTGTAGATGTCTGTTAAGTTCATTTTTAGTATAAAGTGCAATTTAAAGCCAATGTTTGTTTCTTTGTTGATTTTTCTGTCTAGACGATCTTTCATTGCTGAGAGTGGGGTGTTGATGTCTCCAGCTATTTTGTATTAGAATCTTTTACTCCTTTTAGATCAAATAATATTTACTTGATGTAGCTGGGCACTCTGATATTAGTGCATATATATTTACAATTACATTCTCTTGCTGAATTGATCCCTGTATCATTGTATATTGACCTTCTTTGTCTTTTTTCATAGTATGTTGTTTTTTGAGGAAGGGTTTTTAAATTTTTATTTATTTATTTATTTTTTAAGATTCCTTTTCTATAATTTCTTTTTTTTTTCTTATTTTATTGCATTTTAGGTTTTGGGGTACATGTGAAGAACATGCAACATTGTTGCATAGGTACACGTGGCAGTGTGATTTGCTGCCTTCCTCCCCATCACCTACATCTGGCATCTCTCCCCTTGCTATCTCTCCTCAGCTCCCCACCCCACACTGTCCCTCCCCTATTTCCCCCCAACTGACCCCAGTGTGTAGTGCTCCCCTCCCTGTGTCCATGTGTTCTCATTTTTTGAGGCAAGGTTTCACTTTGTCCCCCAGGCTGAAGTACAGTGCTGTGATCTCGGCTCACTGCAACCTCAGCTTCCCAGGCTCAGGTAATCCTCCCACCTCAGCCTCCCAACTAGTGGGACTACTGGCATGTGCTGCCACGTCCAGCTAATCTTTTTAATTTTTAGTTTTATTTTTTGTAGAGATGGGGTTTTGCCATGTTGCCCAGGCTGGTCTCAAACTAACCCCTGAGCTCAAGTGATTCTGCCCACCTTGGCCTCCCAAAGTGCTGGGATTGCAGGCATGTGCCACCATTCCCAGCCTCTTTTTATAGTTTTTAACTTAAATTATCCTTTATCTGATATGAATATAGCTATTCCTGCTTGCTTTTAGTTTCTGTTTGCATAGAATATCTTTTCCCATCCTGAATGTAAACATTCAGTCCATATGTGTCTTTACAGATGACATGAGTTTTTGTAGGCAGCATATAGCGAGTTCATGTGTTTTTAATCCATTCAGTTGGTCTATGTCTTTTAAGTATGGAGTTTAATGTTTACATTCAAGGTTATTATTGATACGTGAAGAGTTACTCTTATCATTTTGTTAATTGTTTTCTGGTTTTGTATATCCTTTGTTCCTTTCTTCCTCTCTTAATGTTTATCATTGCAGTTTGGTGATTTTCTGTAGTACTATGGTTTGATTATTCTCTTTCTCCTTTGTGTACCTACTCTACTAGTTAATTTTACACTTTTGCATATTTTCATAATATATTATCTTTTTGCTTCCAGATATAGGACTTTTTGAGCACTTCTTGTAAGGCTGATCGCAGTGGTGGTAAATTCCCACCATTCAAAAAAAAGTCTGGGAAAGACTTTGGTTTTCCCTCATTTCTGAAGGATGGCTTTGCTGGGTTGAGTGTTCTTGGCAGGCATTTTTTTTTTTTCAGCACTTCTCTAATATATCATTTCATTCTCTTCTGGCCTGTAAGGTTTTTTTCAGATAAATCTACTGTTTTCTAATAAGTAGAAAATCTACTGTCTCTAATATTCCCTTATATGTGACTTAATGCTTTTACCTTGCAATTTTTACTTTTAATGTTTTTTTTTTTTGAGACAGGGTCTCACTCTGTCACCCAGGCTGGAGTGTAGTGATGTGATCACAGCTTGCTGCAGCCTTGACTTCCTGGATTCAAGTGATGCTGTCACCTCAGCCTCTCAAGTTCTGGGAGTACAGGTGCGTGCCACCATGACCAGCTAATTTTTGTATTTTTTGTAGAGATGGGGTTTCATTATCTTGGCCAAACTGCTCTCAAACTCCTGGGCTCAAGCAATCTGCCCGCCTTGATCTCCCAAAATGCTAGGTCTGTAGATATGATCCACCATGCCTGGTCTCTGTTGCTATTTTTAGAATTCTCTCTCTCTTTGACTTTTGACAATTTGTAAGTCACAAAGTTTATGGTAACATATAGGAGAGGTGCTTGATTTCGATTCAGTTCATCAGGAAAGAGTTCCTAGAAGAAATCCTAATTGAGCTCAGCCTTGAAAGACAATGATTATATATTAGCAACATAGATGAATTAGGATATTATTATAAATGAAGCAGATCAAAGTATATAATCAGGTGAAGTACTTTCCAGTATTCAAACTGTGTCTTAAGAATAGCTTCCTGGCCGGGCGCGGTGGCTTACACCTGTAATCCCAGCACTTTGGGAGGCCAAGGTGGGCGGATCATGAGGTCAAGAGTTCGAGACCATCCTGGCCAACATGGTGAAACCCCGTCTCTACTGAAAATACAAAAGTTAGCTGGGCATGGTGGCACACGCCTATGGTCCCAGCTACTCGGGAGGCTGAAGTGGAAGAATTGCCTGAACCCAGGAGGCGGAGGTTGCAGTGAGCCGAGATTGCACCACTGCACTCCAGCCTGGCGACAGAGCAAGACTCCGTCTCAAAAAAAAAAAAGCTTCCCTGGTCAGTAGGTTTCAGAGCATTTTATTAATAGATAAAGGGAGCAGCATATGTGCAAAGGCACTCCAGGTCAAAAGAGTATAATTCATTGGGGAATTTCAGGTGCTCCAGCTGGGTATGCCCTGGGAGGAGCTCTCGTGAATGGAAGTGTTGAGAAATGAAGTTTGGAAGGAAGAAAATAGCCAGATTCTAAGAGTTTGGGCTTTATGTTGTATATAAATGCTTGTTTTATCTCATCATGATTGTATAGAATAAAAATTTTAATTAGAAAAAAGAAACATAGTCATAGCATGAAGTTTAATGAAAAAAAAAACTATACCAATTTTGAGGAAAGACAAAATATTTGCTACTGTATTTTTAGCCGAATTGAAATGTGTTATTCTAGAGAAAACTGTTTACTTGAAATCTGAATTTGTGCCTACATTGAGAATGAGAAATAATATTCAAATTTCTTTTGTATTTTTAGCAGACTGGAAGTTTTTCTGGCTGGTCTGGAAGTTTCCTCATGGATGATAACATGTCTAATACTCTAAATAGCCTTGACGAGCACACTAGTGAGTTTTACAGTATGGATGAAAATCAGCCTGTGTCTGCTCAGCAGAATTCACCCACAAAGTTCCTGGCCGTGGAGGCAAATGCTGTGTTGTCTTCTTTGCAGACGATACCAGAATTTGCAGAGACTCTAGAACTTATTGAATCTGTAAGTTAAAATTTGTAAGATTATCAGAAGTTCAATTTTAGTTACATGATTTAATGCTCAGAAACTCAGTTTTGGACATTGACCAGTTTTATGTTTTGTATGCTATGCTTAATTTTGTTCTGATATTTTGCAGTAGCTTCTAGGGGGGAGAAGTTCAGATTTTTCTCAAGTATGTGCCTTGTGAAGAATTTTTTTTAAATTAAAAACTTAATTCATTTTTTATTATATAAGTTATGTGAGTGCATTAGAGAAAGCTGGAAACTAGAGAAAACTATAAAAAAGAAAATTATAATCCTTCATAAACCCAGAGTTAATAATTCGATATATTCCTTTCAGTCTGTGTTCTATACATAGAAAACACATTATATTTTTAAACCCAAAAATACTTATGAATTGTATTTGTGGATTTTTTTTGTCTTCCACCATATCATGAACATGTTACTGTTTTCTTAACTTTTTTAAACTTGAGGTTTTTTTTCTTTTTCCTTTTTTTTTTTTTTGAGATGGAGTCTCACTGTTTTCTAGGCTGGAGTGCAGTGGTGCATTCTTGGTTCACTACAACCTCTGCCTCCTGAGTTCAAGTGATTCTCCTGCCTTAGCCTCCTGAGTAGCTGGGATTACAGGTGCCTACCACCACACCAGCTAATTTTTGTATTTTAGTAGAGATGGGGTTTCATCATGTTGGCCAGGCTGATCTTGAACTCCTGACCTCAAGTGATCCTCCCACCTTGGCCTCACAAAGTGCTGGGATTATAGGCCTGAGCCACTGTGCCTGGCCTAAACTTGAATTTTAGAGACTTTGTAGTATTCCATCAGATGACTATAAGAAAATATATTTACTCAGTGTACTTTTATTATTGGACATTTAGGTAGTGTCTAGTTTTTCAGTATTATAAATAACATATTTATATAAAGCTTTGTGCAAAATCATGATTATGTCTTTAGGTTAAATTGAATTTCTGGATCAAAGTGTATCACCATTTTTAACATGTTCCATACACATTACCAAATGATTATGTAGAATTTGATGTTGTTTTCCTGTTGTGGAGTAAACAGTGAAGTTTTATGATGAATTATAGTTTTTGATAATAACTTATAATTTGTTCTTCTTAAAATGCTTTGACAGTAAGCTTCAACTACTGAATTAGATGAACTACTATGAATTTTGGAATTGTAGGAAAACCATAATCTGTTTCTCTCAAATGGTCTTGCTTCAAAAAAAAGTTCCCAGGAAAGCATTTCTACTGATAAAATGAGTGGTTAATTAACTCTGTGGAAGTCATCATCCTATGTTCAAGATGAGATTTAACTAGTTTATAGCATTAACTTTTTAACAATTTAATTTATTGCAGGATCCTGTAGCATGGAGTGATGTTGCCAGTTTTGATATTTCTGATGCTGCAGCTTCTCCTATCAAATCCACCCCAGTTAAATTAATGAGAATTCAGCACAATGAAGGAGCCGTGGAATGTCAATTTAACGTCAGTGTTGTACTTGAAGGGAAAAAAAACATTTGTAATAGTGGCAACAGTGAACCTGTTCCTTCCCCACATATGGCCAAGTTTAGCACTCCACCAGCCATCCTCAGAAAGAAGAGAAGAATGCGAGTGGGTCATTCCCCAGGCAGCGAACTTAGGGATGGCATACTGAACGATGGTGGTAATACAGCGCTAAAACATACACCACTGAAAACACTACCATTTTCTCCTTCACAGGTAGTGGTGTTTTGTTTATATTTCCAAATGTCAGTGAGTTAGATTAAATTAGATCTTCAGTATCCTTACTAGCAGTTGGTAGCTTTGATAACATATAAAAATAATGTGTTTAAATGTATAAATTTAACATGAGAATGCTGAACTCTGAGAGATTATAAATTATCTCACAAAGTGTAGTAGCTGTAAATATATATATACATGTATGTATACACACACATACACATAAGTACATATATACATACATATATATGTATTTTGGAGACAGGATCTTACTTTGTTGCCCAGGCTGGAGTGCAGTGGTACAAACACGGCTCACTGCAGCCTCAACTACTCAGGCTCAAGTGATCTTCCCGCCTCAGCCCCCCAAGTAGCCTGGATTATAGATATGTGCCATCATACTTAGCTAATTTTTGTATTTTTTGTAGAGATGGGGTTTCGCCATATTAGCCAGGCTGGTCTTGAACTCCTGAGCTCAAGTAATCTACCTGTCTTGACTCCCAAAGTGTTGGGATTACAGGCGTGAGCCACTGCTACTTGTTCTACATTATATTATCCTAGTTTTTAGAGGGACATTTTTTTAAATCTTGTAGTCTCACATCTTTATAGAACTCATCAGAAAACAATCCCGGAAAGGTAAAATTAATTTGCCCAAAGTTATCTAATGCAAGGCTGAGACTAAGATCCACCTTCCTGACTGCCTGTTCAATAGGTATACCTGATAAACTTCAAAGTGACCACACCTGTTTAGAGTAATTTAGATTTCAGTTTGTCCACTGGATTTTTCTTCTTAATGTTCTTTGAAAGAAACTTAGATAATTGCTTACTGTAAGAATTTCATGTGTCAGGAGGTTTCCTAAGGATGTCCAGAACTACCCACTTTCTCCTCTTGTAATATCCCTGGACAGTAGATGTTTATGTTAGGACAGTTTCCTATTGAATGCTTGCTATGCTCCAGGCTGTTTGCCAAACACTTTTCCTACAGCATCTCAGTTAATACTCTTTCAGAAGGAGTTAGTGAAGGGAAATTCTGAAGTTGAGCCACTTGTCAAAGGCAACAGTTAGTAAGAGATGGAGCTGATGTTTTCTGAAAGTGTTTGGCAGAGATTACAAAGTTTAAAGGGGAAGAAAGGAGTTTAATGGTCAAATAAACATGGAGAATGCTGGGATATTATTGGAGGTATATTTTGAGGCTAGGGAGGTAAGTAGGATCTGGCAGAACACAGATCTCTGAAATTATGCGCTCATGCTTCAGGGGATACCATTTGTGTAGACTACAAAGTGAATAGTCTCTTCACCCCAGCCCTGCTCTTGGAATTAAAAAGAACTGGGGAAAGTGAATAGGCTTGGGCACACTAGCAGTTTTCTATTCCGGGGTTTTGCACGCTAGCAGTTTTTGTGGAGTGTGAATTCTAAGGTGGAAGTGGCCGAAAGATGCTTATTTCCCATGGCAAACTGCTTGGATTTTATCCTGTAAAAGAGGATTTGATTGCTAATCTTAGGGTAAAATAAATTCAGGTATTCAGAGCCAGAAGTGATAGAGGTAGACTTCATTCTAGTTATAAGTAGCTTTGAAGCTATTTTTACTGCTTCTAATCTACTGCTGCTTCTACTGCTTTACTGTTTCTAATCTTTTGACTACAAAAATAAATTAGTATTTCACAATTGTGTTGTGAATACAATTAGTATTTCATAATTGTAAATTATGTAGTTTAGAAAATGGACTCTGTGATATCAACGTTGGCTGCTTAGAGGTCCTGTTCTGTGTTCTAGATAGGCAAATTTGCCAGACAGCTGTATTTCTTATCAGCAAAGCATTATTATTATATTCTGAGTTCAAATATTCTCATGGAAAAATCCCCTCAAGCCAGGCACAGTAGCTCACACCTGTAATCCCAGTACTTTGGGAGGCCTAGGCGGGTGGATCACGAGGTCGGGAGATTGAGACCATCCTGGCTAACATGGTGAAACCCCACCTCTACTAAAAATAAAAAAATTAGCTGGGTGTGGTGGCATGTGCCTGTAGTTCCCAGCTACTCAGGAGGCTGAGGTAGGAGAATCGCTTGAACCCGGGAGGCAGAGATCACTCCACTGCACTACAGCCTGAACGACAGAGTGAGACTCTGTCTCAAAAAAAAAAGAAAAGCAAAAGCCACTTAAGGTCATTTATTAATAAGAGCTAAAAAAAAAAAACCCTTGTTTTTTGCAGTTACATACTGTTGTACAAAACGGTTACATTTAACACAACAGCTATTTATGGTTTCTATAGATCCTTATTTGATAATATTCTGTTTTTTAAAATTTTTGTATTTTTTTAACTTTTGAATATATGTTAAATGGCTGTATATTGGATTTGTTTATATGCTAAACGCTGTTCCAAGAGCTGGGGAAACAAAACAAACCAGACAAAAATTCCTACCCTTGTGGAGCTTAATTTCCATAGAGTATAAGTATAATATTATTCATAAGCTATTTTAAAGAGGTGTGAAGTAATTTGAAAATCTTACCAGTTTAATATTTGTGTAGGGATTTTGATGTTCCAGAAATCACCTTTAAACTCTCTTCCCTTTTTAGTTTTTCAACACATGTCCTGGAAATGAACAACTTAATATAGAAAATCCTTCATTTACATCAACCCCTATTTGTGGGCAAAAAGTTCTCATTACAACTCCTCTTCATAAGGAAACAACTCCCAAAGATCAAAAGGAAAATGTAGGGTAAGTAGGTATTAAATAATCGTGTTAGAGAAAATGGGGAGCACAATGTCAAGAATAGACTAGCTTTTTGTGCATATAAATGGCATGTATCATAATCTCTATTCTTATAGGACTTAGAATTTTTTTTTTTTTTTGAGGTGGAATTTCGCTCTTGTTGTGCAGGCTGGAGTGCAATGGTGTGATCTCAGCTCACTGCAACCTCCACCTCCCTGCAACCTCCACCTCCCGGGTTTGAGCGATTCTCCTGCCTCAGCCTTCCAAGTAGCTGGGATTATAGGCATGCACCACCATGCCTGGCTAATTTTGTATTTGTAGTAGAGATGGGGTTTCACTGTGTTGTCCAGGCTGGTTTCGAACTTTGGACCTCAGGGGATCTGCCCATCTCAGCCTCCCAAAGTGCTAGGATTAAGGCATGAGCCACTGCACCTGGCCAGAATTTTTTTTAATCATAACCTTATGCTTTCTCCTTAGGATACCAAAAACCAACTTAAATATAGCATCAAACTTTGATTTCAATAAAAACATTTCTAGTACTTCTTTCTACATTAATTCTTTTTTTTCTATTTTAAGATGATTGGTTGAAATCAGAATTACTGTAGGTGGACATACTTTAAAATAGTCTTAGAATATTTAAATGAAGCATATATATATGTAAAAAAATTTAGCATGTGCTTAAATTGCTTTGCTTTCATTAACCTGTATGAAATCAGATTGTGACTATAACATAAATATCTAAATGATTGGATAGGTTTAGAACACCTACTATTAGAAGATCTATATTGGGTACCACACCAAGAACTCCTACTCCTTTTAAGAATGCGCTTGCTGCTCAGGAGAAAAAATATGGACCTCTTAAAATTGTGGTATGTATATTATTTTTATTTTTAATAATTTTCCTAATTTTAATAAAATAAAAACTGTGATTTTTATCACTTAGTTTTGTTTTGTTTTGTTTTGAGACAAAGTTTTGCTCTGGTTGCCCAGGTTGGAGTGCAATGGCATGATATCAGCTCACTGCAACCTCTGCCTCCTGGGTTCAAGCGATTCTCCTGCCTCAGCCTCCCGAGTAGCTCAGATTACAGGCACCCTCCACCACACCAGGCTAATTTTTGTATATTTAGTAGAGATGGGGTTTCACCATGTTGACCAGGCCGATCTTGAACTCCTGATCTCAGGTGATCCACCTGCCTCAGCCTCCCAAAGTGCTGGGATTACAGGCGTGAGCCACCACATCTGGCCGATTTTTAACATTTAAAAAAAGATGTTTACTGAAACAGATATAAAGTCTTACCTTTTGATTTTCAAGTTGTTTTTTTCTTTTTTTTTTTTTTTTTTTTTTTTTTTTTTTTTTTTTTTTGAGGCAAGAGTCTCACTTTGTCGCCCAGGCTAGAGTGAAGTGGCGCGATCTCAGTTCACTGCAACCTCTGCCCCCACCAGGTTCAAGCAGTCCTCATGCTTCAGCCTCCCGAGTAGCTGGTATTACAGGTGCTCACCACCACACCTGGCTTTCTGTATTTTTAGTAGAGATGGGGTTTCACCATATTGGCCAGGCTGGTCTTGAACTGCTGACCTCGGCCTTTCAAAGAGCTAGGATTACAGGTGTGAACCACTGCACCCAGCCTGATTTTCAAGTTTGAATTTGTGTTCACCTTTTTCCTTAACTTGTAAATAAACCCTTGCTTGGCTTGTTTCGAATTCTTTGTATCATCTAGAGAAAGCAGATCAAGTATCAGTGGAACTCTTAATACTGAAATTTACATTTTAATAGTTTCTGTCATGGTTAAATGCATTAGAATAAAATAATTATAATATTTTGATATACTGAAGCACTTTCATGATAATATTTAGGAAATAATCAGGTTACTGCTATGGGAAACTAATTAGGAAAAGGTTCAGTTTCCTTTTCTATGCAAAGAGATCATAAAACACACCCCAAATTGTTACTGTGAAGCTGAAAGAGATGATATTATTAAAGGGGCTTCTCTGAGTTTCAAGTAGTGTGTGCTTGGTTGTTGCTATTCTAATAAGTATTTGTGGTAGTAGTTCACGAATGAATAGGACTGGGAAGTGTTCTAGTTACTGTGCTTTCATATATACTACTGCCTTTGAAGTACCTTCGAAAAGTGATGGGCATTTTAGGCAGATAAAGATTTCTGACAAGTTCTTTAGAAATATGATTTTTAAAATATTGGTCACTTCCAGGGTTTTTTAGTTATGTTTTTCTTTTTTTAGTACTTTCTGGTTAGATTCATTAACAAATACTAGTTTACTTGATTTAATTTTCTACCCAAAAGCATGTTATATCCTCAAATCTTCTAGTCTTTCTTTTTTCTTTTTCAAAATACTGTATTAAAGGGTACACAGTAGGCTTGATCAAATCTTTTTGTCATTTAGCTCCATGTACTGCTGTGAACAATCATATTTCCTTTAGAGCTTCCTAGAGTTTTTATTTATGCATATATATAAAGAAAACAAGAGACCACACTTTGTTATAACACTCTTTTTAAAGTTAACCAAATAAATGTGTATATTTATTGCATAATTTTTAATATTTGCATAATATTCCATCGTATGGAATTACCTGATTGATTTAACCTGTTTCAGTATTTTGCTGTTTATTTTAAAAATTCATTATTCAGCAAATATTGATTGAGTACCTAATAGGTGCCAGACACTGTACTAGGCTTTATAGAATGAATGTTGAAAAGGTCAAGTATGGTTCCTGCCTTCATAAGGACATGCAGACTAATTGGGGATTAGAAAAGTAAATAATGATTTGAAAGCAGTTAAAAATTCCACAGTGATTCAAGGTCATTTGGTCAACATTTAAGTGGAATAAAATTTATTATTTGATAGCTGGGTATAGTAGTATGCTCTTGTAGTAGTCCCAGGAGGTTTGAGTCTGGGAAGTAGAGGCTGCAGTGAGTGGTGATCAAGCCACTGCATTCCAGCCTAAGGGACAGAGTGCAGCTCTGTTTGAAAAAAACCAAAAGTATCATTTGTAGTAGGTTTCAAATACCTAAAGCCCTTGTCAGTTTGTTTACTACCCTTCTGACATTTTAAATTTAATACCAGCGGCACTCACAGCTAGTTCTTTGGATACAATTTGTTGCCAGACAGATCACTTCCATTAGCAATTTAAGATAAAAGGAAGACAATGATTTAAAAATTAAAATTCCTAGACTATCTATAGGTTCATGCATTTCTTTGGAGTAAGCTGACTTTTCATTTATCCTGCTCCTCCTCCTTCAGTTATTTACTGAGCACCTACTGTACGCTAACCACTTAGCTTTCTTTTGTATCTTACTATGAGTCAAATGCACTTCTTGGAGATTGGCTTTGGAATTTTAATCAGGTATATCTTAAATATCTGTTGCCTTATTAATAAACTTGGATTCTTCTAATATTTACTGTAAATTATCAAAAGGCAAAAAACTCTGTAGAAATATTAAGTTTGGTATTATCAAACCTGAAAAGTATTAAATGCAGGAGTTCTTTGCTTTTGACACATTAGAACAATTAAGAGAATAATTCTTGCTAATGAATGAATTAATCTGTTTTATCCATTACTTTAGGACATTTGTATTCTTAAAGAGGGAAAAAATTCCAGATCTTTTTAAGAATACTCGACTGGAGGAAGAAAATGTGGGCTGGATGCAGTGGCTCACGCCTGTAATTCCAGCACTTTGGGAGGTCAAGACAGGCAGATCATTCGAGCTCAGGAGTTCAAGACCAGCCTGGGCAACATGGCAAAACCCCATCTCTACCAAAAGTACAAAAAATTAGCTGGGCATGGTGGTGTGCGCCTGTGGCCCTAGCTGCTCAGGAGACTGAGGTGGGAGGATTGCTTGAGTGTGGGAGGTGGAGGTTGCAGTGAGCTGATATTGTGCCACTGTACTCTAGCCTGGGTAACAGAGTAAGACCCCATCTCAAAAAAGTTAAGAAAAAAAGAAAAAGAAAATGTGGTACATATACACCATGGAATACTATGCAGCCATAAAAAAGAGTGAGATCATGTCCTTTGCAAGGACATAGGTAGAGCTGGAGGCCATTATCCACAGCAAACCAACACAGGAACAGAAAACCAAGTACTACATGTTCTCACTTAGAAATGGGAGCTAAATGATGGGAACACATGGACATATAGAGAGGAACAAAACACACTAGGGCCTTTCAGAGAGTGGAAGGTGGGAAGAGAGATAGGAAAAATAACTAATGGATACTAGGCTTAATACCTGGGTGATGAAATAATCTATACAACAAACCCCTATGACATGTTTACCTAGGTAAAAAACCTGCACTTGGACCCCTGAACTGAAAATAAAAGTTAATTTTAAAAAAGAGTACTTTATGTTCTTGGTGAAGTACCATCATTAAAAAGCTCTTCGAGGCCAGGTGTGGTGGCTCACACCTTTAATAATCCCAGCACTTTGGGAGGCCAAGGCAGGTGGATCACCTCTTGAGGTCAGGAGTTCAAGACCAGCCTGGCCAACATAGTGAAACCCCATCTCTAGTAAAAATACAAAAAAATTAGCCAGGCGTCACAGCAAGTACCTGTAATCCCAGCTACTTGGGAGGCTGAGGCAGAAGAATCGCTTGAATGGGGTTGGGTGGCAGAGGCAGAAGTTGCAGTGAGCCAAGATCGAGCCACTATACTCCAGCCTGGGTGACAGAGCAAGACTCTCTCTCGATAAATAAAGTAAATAATAAAGAAATTAAAAGCTCTTTGAGAAATATACAGACACACTAATATTAAATTCCTATATGTCTCAATCTAGATTAGAATACTTTTAACATTTTATTTTCATTTTAAAAGGTTTTGTAAGTGCTGTGAAATCTCACTTATATATGAATGCTATTCTCTCTTAGCTGCTGGCTGGGAATGTAAGCTGCTGATTATTTTTATTTTTATTTTTTTTTTTGAGACAGAGTTTCACACTGTCACCCAGGCTGGAGTACAGTGGCATGATCTTGGCTCACTGCAACCTCCAGCCCCCGAGTTCAAGTGATTCTTCTGCCTCAGCTTCCTGAATAACTGGGATTACAGGTGTGCACCACCATGCCTGGCTAATTTTTGTATTTTTGGTAGAGATGGGGTTTCACCATCTTGGCCAGGCTGGTCTCGAACACCTGACCTCGTGATCAACCTGCCTCAGCCTCCCAAAGTGCTGGGATTACAGGCATGAGCCACTGCACCCAGCCAAGCTGCTGGTTATTAAGTGCTGCCATTCCTTTTATTTCGTAGAGGTTTGATTACCATTTCAAGTATATCTTGGTTATGACAGGTATAAGTTAGATATAATTTAAATTTTTTTTCTGAGTTATAAGTTGTACTTACCTATTTGACAGAAAGCTAGATGAATAATATTTTGAGACTATTTCATTACTCAGCTCACACTCAAGTGTCTATCTCTCTGTAACCTACCTTCTCACGCTTTCTCTCTCTCTCTGTCTCTCTCTTGCCTTCTCTCTCTCTTGCGCTCTCTCTCTCTTTCTTTCTTTCCCTTGCTCTCTCTCTCTCCCCGCCCTTCTTCCCTCCCTCCCTCCTTCCCTCCCTCCTTCCTGTCCTCCCTGGATACTGTGTCAGTATCTCACAATCTTAATGGTAGCAGAAACATGTTAACTAGTAATTACATGCTATGTAATAATTACAATAAAAGTAGAGTAAGAGCTAGCATATTCCCAATATATTCTATGTTTCTTATTTTTCCTATTTTTATGTAAAAAAATACATGAGAAATAACCTCTTCTTTTCTGTTTAATTCTGAAGATCCTGACCTGAAGCAGGAGCTACAATGGTTTCCCCAAAAGGAAGATTTTTGTTTAGTAGCCTAGAAAGAAGAAATTACCATTCTTTACTCAGTGGTTGCAAATGTGCAATATTGTTTTGCCATAAAATGGATTAGTTAAATTGATATATGTATAAGAGCTAGGAGAAAATTATGACAGTAATGGAAAAGTATAAAAGATTGGTTTCCTATATATGGGGAGAAAAAGGAATTGCTATATATGACTTTTTACAACATTTTAAAAAACAATTTAGTCCCAGCCACTTGCCTTCTTGGAAGAAGATATTCGGGAAGTTTTAAAAGAAGAAACTGGAACAGACATATTCCTCAAAGAGGATGATGAACCTGCTTACAAAAGCTGCAAACAAGAGGTAATCTTCTAGTATTATTGTTAATAAAAGTCTGATTGTATCCAAGAAACTTTGCCTTAAAGCTTCTTTATAAATTACTCATTCTAGAATACCGCTTCTGGGAAGAAAGTCAGAAAATCACTAGTCTTAGACAATTGGGAAAAAGAAGAATCAGGCACTCAACTATTGACTGAAGACATTTCAGACATGCAGGTTTGTAAAGGATTATTATTATTTTAAATGGTTGCTTTTCTAGACACAGGTTAAAAAAAAAAGGACAAGAAAAAGAAAGAAATGGTTACTTTAAATCCTAGTGGTTCTTATTTCTTACTCATTGGGTAGCCAATTCATTAGAGATTCCTGGAAGATTTTTATTTTAGTATCATTTTTCCTAATTCACAGAGAAACTATTCCCTGTAGAGAATATTCTATTTACTTTAAAAAAAAAAAAAACTTCTTTTGTTATGAGAGGAGTTAGCTGTCTTATCTATGATGTCAAAAAATTGTAGTTCTCAAGATTTTAAATTTCAGAGTTTATCTTTGGTTCATTTCCAAAATACTTAATATTACTACATTACTAGAAATTTCATTAGAGCCAACTGCTTTCTTGGAGGGAAATAAACAGGGCTTCCATTACCACTTGCTCAGTAGTCCCTCCATTTGTCTCCATTTTTGAATTAGTTATTTTCCTCTTTCTGTTTTCTCTCTTAGTCAGAAAATATATTTACTACATCTTTATTAATGATACCATTATTGGAAATACATGACAATAGGTGCAACTTGACTCCTGAAAAACAAGATATAAATTCAACCAACAAAACATACACACTTACTATAAAGAAACCAAACCCTAACACTTCCAAAGTTGTCAAATTGGAAAAGAATCTTCAGGTATGGATTTATAAATTTCTTTAGTGATTTTTGTTTGTTTAATCAATGATCACTTTAGACTTATCACAAATTATACTTTTTCTTTTAAATTCAGAATTGACTGTAACAACAACTAAACATTTACCATTATTTTGTCACTCACATTTGGGTTTGAGAGACTCATTTATCAGGGCACATATAAACTAAACAATTGGAGTTGTAACCAAAGACTCTTCTGGTGATTTCCTAAGCACTATATTTTTTTAAAACTGAAGATATATACATCTACTTTTGGCATCTCTTCTCCTGTAACAAATATGTATAGCCCTAATTGCTATTCTGAAAAAGGGTAAGTGGTTGGAAGCAGTTTCAGCATGATTTTGTTTGTACCATGGTTTCCAGTGAACTTTTTGGCTCAGAAGTTGTAAAATAAAGTCCTTTTTTTTTGTTGTTGGGATGTGGCCAGTGTGTAGCTGCAAAGGAAGGTTGGAAAAATTTTTACTGCGTTATCTTAAGAGTTTACCCCAGATAATTTGAGAGTTCATTGAGGAGGAAATTTTTTTCTTTACGCCACAGTGACTGTAGCACTAGTATTCCTGATGTTGAAGCATACTTTGAAAACATCTTTGGCAATCACATATGGCCACCTCACATCTGTTTTCAGCCACTGCTTCCTGAGAGCCATGTAGCACATTCTCTTAATCCACCTAAAATGATTTGAATTCCCAGTGTTTAATTAACATAGAACTTTTGGGGAAAGTTATTATATAGCTGATCATGTCCATAACATAGTAATCTTTATAATAAGGGAAGAAAAAAACATAAACTTGATTTTTTGTTATGAATATATTTCCTAATTTGTAAATAAAGCATTCTTGGCTCATTTTTTGACATTACCTCCTCTCTTTAAACATTTTGCAGAATTTTGAAGCAATAAAGACTAACAGTTATTTCCATGTTAGGACTCATTTGATTTGGGGGGAATTGTTAGGGACAAGACTTTTAAACTGCCTCCATTGGCCTGTAAGCAATGTAGATAGGTAAAATAATTGACTTTTAAAAAACTTGATAAAAAATATTTCAGTATATATTTTAAGATTATTATTAAAAAATACAATGCCATTGTTAAAACATTTTATAATAATTATAAAATAATCAGTTAAAATAACTGATTTTAAGAGTCTAATTGTGATGTAATATGGAGATTTTAATAATTTTCACATTACTATTAATATTTCCTTTCTAGTCAAATTGTGAATGGGAAACAGTGGTTTATGGGAAGACAGAAGACCAACTTATTATGACTGAACAAGCAAGAAGATATCTGAGTACTTACACAGCTACCAGCAGTACTTCAAGAGCTCTCATACTGTAATTGTTATTAAAATTGATGAAATGCCCCACTTCTTACTGCATTCTCTACTAAATTAGGTTGCAGTGAAATTTTTCTCAATTAATTGTTTTTAAAGTTGTAATATAGTCCTTTTAATACAGCATCTTTTTTCTATATAGAGCAGGCAGAAAGCTAGTAAGTCACAATTTAATAGTTTATGTTTTAAGAGATGAGATTTTTAAAAATTGTTTTTAAAGAACAAGATGGGAAAATAATAGAATGTTCATGGATATTCTAAAAGTAAATTCTCATATGTTTTCTTCACAAGGTATGTGTTGCTATTCTCTTGATGCTGCAGTTTTGTTATAGATAGGGGTATGAGTACATATGATTCTGAAATTAGTCTATGTATGGAAAGCACACATGATTTTATGAAGTACTTTTACCCACATGCTGATTTACTTAGGCTTCCATTTGCAAAGAAACACATTGAAAAGGAATTTAAAGGAAGGATAGAAAGTTGCACTACTAATTTTTTGTTTTTTATTTTCAGAAACAATAAAATTAACTACAGTGTTAAATGTATTTATTTGAGCATAGTACTAAAAACAAAAAGCATTCAAAAAGAGTTTTTTCTTTATTAGTAAATGGTATTTTCTTAAGCTCAGAAGAGCTGAGAGTTTTGTTGAATGTATTGTACAGTATGTAGGAGCAGGAGAACTTTGTAAATTGGAAAGAAGTCTGTTTTTATAATTTATTTTATTTTTAAAGCTTAAATGTAGATATTTATACATATACAGGGTGCCTAGAAGCCAGTGTTGTTTCCTGTTATTACAGCTAACACAGTAAAGAAAAATTTTGGCTTTTAAGTATGAAACAGTAGTAAGATATAGCTGTAAAGAATACAATATCTATACTGTATGTCACATCTACCTAAATATTGCACTATGCCCTTTAAATCATGTTGGTTATAAAGTAGTTCTAAAAATGTACTAAATAATAATTTAATATTTTCTTTTTAAATTATATCGAGGGTGGTCATATACATTAATCTGGTGATTTGTATATGTGTTTGAAATTTTTGCATTTTGTTTAAAAAATTATATGGTACCTTGGTCCCTAAAAACAATCTGCACTTAGAAGTTTATATTTACTCAGTGTTTCAGAAGTGGAGAACATTATCTTTTATTTATAAAAATATTTTGTCCTTTTAAAAAATGTTTTGTGTTTCTCTACAGGTTACAACAGTTGCTTCAGTTGCCTGTTTTAGGTGTTTGCACTTATTTTATTTCTTCTTGAAAGAATTTTCATTTGCTTTTGTGGTAGAGATTATATGTAATTTTCTTCAGTTACATAATGGTGTGCTGTCAACTTAAACACTGACAGGTAAATAGAATTGTACACTGTAGTTTGAATTATTTATAATTGACACACTCTCTCCCTCTCCACTCCTGAAGTATGCTGCTATAGAAAATAGCAGAATCGGCTTGCTGCTATGAGAGAAGGAAAGAGCGACCACCACTTGCACTGTGTGAAAAGATAAACAAATGATGGCAAGTTCTCAAGTTAACTAAATGGAATCAACCATTACCAGACAAATTCTTACAAATACCAAAATAACTACTATGCCTTAAAAAACAAAATGAAAGCAGGTTAAGATTTTCTGCTCTGTTTGTATGTTAATAGAAATGGAAATACTAAGTATTTTAATGCCTAGCTCTTGAACAGTAGACCTAAAAGGGTTTTAAGCTATTTAAATCTACTTGCTAGTTTTTGCATATTTTATATATTTATATACATATAGTGAGAAGTGAAGAAAATGTATGGTACTAAGATTATGCCTTGTTGATAACAAATAGATAAACCAATTTGAATCCTCTTAGGATGTTTAAGTATGTTGATTGCTTTCTAATTAATGAACTTCTCACAGAAATTTTACTTAGTGAAACCAATGATTGTAGCAAACTCATACTGGATCATTTCAGTTACCTTGAACTAATAGCACATAATGGTTTGTTGTTGTTGTTTTTAATGTAGCCCTTACGTGGATGTACATAGTCTGCAATCACCAAAATATAATATCTTGGAAGAGCTATACTTTTTAAAGCATATTTTTTCTTGAGCATTAAATTATCCTAAATGGTAATATATTGTGGATAAGTCTGGCCTTATTGGACATAATACATACGTGGGTTGGTATTGGTTGAATCCTTCAGTTAACTGCTTTGTTGCTTTTTGCAAGATTTTTAATCAACATGTCAGGCATCTTAAGTCACCTTTATACTGTTTTGTTCCTCTGAATTTCTTTCAGTATGTTATACAAATGCCAGACATACATGTAGCAGCCATACTTGCATAGAAACTGACTACACATATATAATACTGCATTTTCTTGTAAGGTTTTCACATTAATACAGCAATTGCCCTGACTAAATTGAGTTTTGTGATGTATGGAAAACTCCATTGTAAGAGAATCTTGCATACAATGTTGACATATTAACATCCAAAATAAAGCATCTGTGTACAAGCTGACTTGGCATTGCTCATTTCACTTTGGTTTTGTGTTGTGTGAAGAACTGGTGGAATCCTTAAAGACTTAACATTCTTTTCTTAGGCCTTTTTTCTCACTTAGAACTGTATTTACAGGTGATTTTATCAATAAATATAACATTGCCCCTTTATTGAGCCTCATTTAAAACCATATTTTCAGTTGCATGACACTCCTGTCGGCACCTTAAACACAGCATGTCCAAAGCAGATTTCCTCTTTTTCCCAACTTTGACCTGCCCTTCCTTTGTTCTATCACTTATGGTATTGCCTTCCCTTCATTAACCCACTGAGTAATCACCCACCCCCACATTGAAGTCAGCTATGAATTATCACCTGTGTATAGCCTCTGTTTCCATTCTATAGAAATGTCAAGAAATTGTGCAGTGGCATCAGGGTGTCATCTGGGAAAGGAACACTGGTCATCCAGGCAGGGCCCTGTGGTATTATATTACCTTGGTAAATCATCACCATCTAGGTTCTGTCTTTAGCCTTGTAGGCTCAAAAGACTGAGGGCATTAACTCATTAAAAATGAGTTTACCTCTCAGTAGAAGGCTTATATCAAATTTATGACTGATATATGAAATTATAATGCCAGTCTCTTAATAGCGTGAAATGAAACTGCTGAGAGGACAAAGCACATTTTCTCCTTATATGTAAACAGAATTATAAAAAAACATGTTCCACAGTTCTCTGTTGCTTAAATAATAATTCTCCTCCTCCCTCACTTCCTAACCTGGACATGACCAACTTATCCACACTTAATTTTCAGTCATGCTGGTGACTTGGATCTCCTGGGAACATATGTGCACACTCCTGTCTCCAGGCCCATGTTTGTAATAACCTCTTTGTATGACTTTTTTTTTTTGAGATGGAATCTCACTCTGTTGCCCAGGCTGGAGTACAGTGGCGTGATCTTGACTCACTGCAACCTCCGCCTCCTGGGTGCAAGCAGTTCTCCTACCTCAGCCTCCTGAGTAGCTGGGATTATAGGTGTGTGCCACCATGCCCAGCTAATTTTTGTATTTTTAGTAGAGATGGGGTTTCTCCATGCTGGCCAGGCTGGTCTCCAACTCCTGACCTCAAGTGATCAACCAGCCTCAGCCTCCCGAAGTGCTGGAATTACAGGCGTGAGCCATCGCCCCAGGCCCTCTTTGTATGACTTCTTTCCTTTTTCCCCGGAGCCTGTTAAAATTTTAGCCTTCAAAGCTCGGGTCTGTGAATCATTTCCTGATTATCCTAGTGCTTCCATTAAACTTTCCCATCAGACTACATTTCTGAAAAGTAGGGATTGCTATATATAACAACTTCGTTTCTGTGTCTAGCATGGTGCTTAGAAAAATCTCACCAAGTGTTTAAGTAATTTAAAAAGTTAGTCATGACTCAGGGAATATTAACCATACTTTTTATACTATGAATTATAAATAGCTTTGATTTCTTAGTTATCCACATGAAGCTAATTTTGCTTCATAGCCAAGAAATTGTATTACTTTCTTAAAACGTTCTAGTTGATTTTATAGCCATATAATTTCTTGCTTGACTAATCCAGTTTATAGTGATAGGCTTGCCAGCCAATTCAGACCTTTAATTTGTAATGTAAAAATGATAGTATTTGAAGAGGCGCTTCTTAGTGAGAAGTGAAGATTTATTTCTAATTAAGTAGTAGATGGTAAATTGAACCAAGTAGAATTCTGTTGGAACATTGCGCTTTCCCCTGGCCTTTAAAAACAAATGAGCATGGATATGGTCAATAATATGTCAAATGTATCGGTAGAACATCAAGATAAAGTGTACTTGGAAAATGCCTGTGGCTGATGTGCTAGGAAGAGTGTTTTTGAAAACAGTATGTTGGTCTAAGTATGTCAAAAGCTGTTGAGTTTGGAGCAGAGAGTATTAAAAGAAGTAGTGTGTACTGCCCTTATTTCTGAAGCTTTCAGACCTGGTATGGTTAGCTCAAGTTCCAAGTACAGAATGTGCTAGGTTTGATTGGATTTTCCTGGCCAGCACAAGGAAAGAAGGCGGGAGATTCACTTTACTCTGATTTAACTACTGTAATTTTGCCAAACAAAGCTCAAAAGTTTTGAGCAGATTTGAACAAAATTTGCTAAACCCTACTACTGTTAGTACTTACCTATTTATTCATTTTAGCTAAGTGTTTATGATGCCCTGTGCATGACCTTTCCCTTAAGAAAGCTGATATTCTAGAAGGGAAGATGAATAAGTATATAACAGAAATGTCTTTTCTCCTTTGGCCAAAAGCGAGATGGATCAAGTAGCCAAGTTCCCTGTTGCATGTGTAGATGCTCATTTGTGAATAAAGGAATAGTTGGACTCTGCCCAGATAATATGGATTTTTTTCCCTCTCTGGTATTCAGAATTGATTAGGTGGTTCATTGGAGTCTTGCATTACCCGGAAAGTTCACAGACTAGAAGTTTGAGTACAGTGTAGCAGCTGTAGCCATACTCCACCCAGTGTGCTAAAACCTTTACATACGGGCCGGGCGCGGTGGCTCAAGCCTGTAATCCCAGCACTTTGGGAGGCCGAGGCGGGTGGATCACGAGGTCAAGAGATCGAGACCATCCTAGTCAACATGGTGAAACCCCGTCTCTACCAAAAATACAAAAAATTAGCTGGGCATGGTGGTGCGTGCCTGTAATCCCAGCGACTCAGGAGGCTGGGGCAGGAGAATTGCCTGAACCCGGGAGGCGGAGGTTGCAGTGAGCCGAGATCGCGCCATTGCACTCCAGCCTGGGTAACAAGAGCGAAACTCCGCTCAAAAAAAAAAAAAAAAAAAAACAACAACAACAAAAAAGACGTTTACATACATTATCTCACTTAATCTTCACAATACTCATATGAGGCAAACACATAATCCACTCCTCTGGAGGTGGAAACAGGGTTAAGAGGCTTGTCCAAACTCACAATGAAATGCTGAGCTGGGATTCAGTCATCCAAAGTTTGGTATGATTCTTTAGGCATAGGGCATGAAAGATTACACAGTATATAATTCTCTTTATATAAAAGTACAAAAACAGGCAGAGCTAATGCATGTTGTTAGAACTTGGGATAGTGGTGGTCCTGGGCAGGAGGATTGGAGGGAGCATGAGGGGGTTCTGTGTGCTGCAATGCTCCAGTTCTTGCACTGGGTATTGATTTCATGGATGCGTTTGTTCATAGTTTGTAAAAATCAAGCTCTATTAATGTTATGTGTGCTTTATCTACATTATGCCTTAATTAGTTTTAAAAATTAGGTTATAACAGAAAAATGAAAGTGCTCAGCCAAAACAAAATGTAATGAATCATTTTCTATTCCATTTATATGCTTACTTGTAAGAGTCTACAAAGCTAGCATTCAGAACTTTCCATTATTCTCCAGCATGTGTTAGACCCATTTCTCCTGGTAAAGTAAGTTTATACTAATTTTTTTTTTTTTTTTTGAGACGGAGTCTTACTCTGTCACCAGGCTGGAGTGCAGTGGCGTGATCTTGACTCACTGCAACCTCCGCCTCCTGGGTTCAAGCAATTCTCCTGCCTCAGCCTCCCAAGTAGCTGGGACTACAGGCGTGCATCACCACGCCCAGCTAATTTTTGTATTTTTAGTAGAGATGGGGTTTTACCATGTTGGCCAGGAAGGTCTCGAACTCTTGATTTCCTGATCTGCCTGCCTCAGCCTCCCAAACTGTTGGGATTACAGGTGTGAGCCACCACACCTGGCCAATTTATACTAAATTTTAACATAAAATAATTATGTCATTGAGCTACATATACTAAATTTTTATGTACATGACAAAACTCTTTTTATCTCCTTTGGTTCTTTTTTTCCTGGAGATGGGATCTTGCTTTGTCTTCCAGGCTGAAGTGCAGTGGTGAGACCTCAATTCACTGCAACCTCTGCTTCATGGGCTCAAGTGATCCTCCTACCTCAGCCTCCTGGGTAGTTGGGACTACAGGCCCGAGTCATCATACCTAGCTAATTTTTGCATTTTTGATAGAGGTGGGGTTTCACTGTGTTGCCCAGGCTGGTCTTGAACTCCTGAGCTCAAGTGATCTGCCCACCTCAGCCTCCCAAAGTGCTGGGATTACAGGCATAAGCCACCGTGCCCAGCCTGTAAGTGCCAGCTCTACCCCATTGTGATCCTTTACTCAAGCCAAGCTACACACTCTCAGTTCTCCATGAATATTCACAATTACCCATCTCTGAATTTCCACCTCAAAGTTCATACTTTCACTCCTGCCCCCACCAAATATCCATGTTCACCAGATCTTGTCACTAGATAGTCATCTGTCTAATGTGGTCCACTAGTACCTTATCAACTGCACTTCTTTATAATACAACATACTATCTTGTTCATTTAGAGTTGATGTTAACTAACATTCACTTAATTCACTCATCCAATTAACCGACATTCTTCCTTCCCCAAGGACTAGTTCACCAAGGGCTAGTGGACTAGTAGTCCTCTCCAGGTTACTGAACACTTTTGCTCAGTTTACTAAACGTGCAGGTAATGCCAGAAATGAGGGCTACTACTTTAAGTTTAATACATTTTGTTTAATCCAATATATCCAAAATAAAATTTTAACATGTGATTAATATATGTTATTAATGAAGTATTTTACAGACCTTTTTTCATTCTAAGTCTTTGAAGTCTGATATGCATTCTGCACTTACATCACATCTCCATATAGACTAGCCACATCTCAAGAACTCAATAGCCACATGTGGCAAGTGGCTATTGTACTGGGCACTGCAGTTCCAAATCACTAGGAATTCACAAAGAAAATGCTTTGTAATCCCGAAGAAACACAACCTATTTCAGGCCACAACTCAGTAAGCTATAGTCGTTGTAATCCTTCCCTCCCTCCTTCCCCTGCTGCTTCCCCCTCTTCCTTCCTCCCTACCTTTCTTCCTCCTTTCCTCCATTCTTCCCTCCCTTCCTACCTCTCTCCCTTCCTTTTTTCCTTCCTTCCTCCCTGAGTGTTTTG